CTTAAGCCGACCAACGTAAAACGTGGGATGCGTTCGCATCTTACGTGGTAACTCGATCGTGTATGCATTGCCTAGGCGGTGCAATACACGAAATGGGCCGATGTACTTGGGTAGTAGTTTACTGCTACCCAAGTTAGTCACTACATGCTTTGGTAGATTAACCGTAGACAGTAGGACTAAGTCACCTTTATTAAAAAAAAGAGTGTTTGCCCTTCCATTCTTATCAGCGTTTTGCTTTTGCTTATCCACCGCTTCGGCGATGGAGTCTTGCACAAAACGGACTACCGTTTCACGAGCCAGTATGAACTCATCTGATGACTCGTTAGCTTCAGTGCGCTGTGAGTGGACTGCAGTAACATCAAACTTTTCTTCAGTGAGGGCTTCCGCACTCTCACTGGCATCATCTTCTTCGATATCGATGTTATCGATAACGGCATCAAACGCAATGACCTCTTCGTCAGAGCGTGATGAGCGTGAACCAATACGGTTTTTGCTCGCGCGAGTCCCTCCCCCCCTTAAACCAGAGTTACACTCTAGTAGGGTGGGTACACGCGGATGGCGCAAGCCATTCACGTAAAACGGTGTATGTGTCGTGGACGCATGCACCGAGTTGTTGATGGCAAACTCTACCATTGGCAAAAACTCACTCCAACTCTTAAAGGAGTGTACGTATCCTCGAAGTATTTCTTCAAGGACACGATTGGCACGTTCCGTCTGACCATCTGACTCTGGATGATCAGATATCGACATCTTCAAGCGCGTTCCGAGTGATTTGAACACGGAACGCCAGAAATCAGCAGTGAATCGTGGATCTCTGTCTGATACGAGTTCACGGGGCAACCCATGAAGTCGGAAGATGGTGTCAATAAAGACACAAGCACAGCCACTTGCCGTGATTGTCTCTGGTACAGCCACAAGGTGTACCATTTTGCTGAATCTGTCAACAAATACGAGAATACCCGTATTCCCGCGTGCGTCTTTGGGTAACCCGAAGACAAAATCCATTGAGATGGATTCCCAACACTCACCCGGAACCGGTAGAGGCTGTAAAGGTGCACGCAGTGAAGGACTTGAATTCACTCGTTGGCAGACTGCGCATGCGCGAACATACTTTCGCACAAACTGATACTGGCGGGGCCAGTAAAAGTCTCGACTTACCGTGAGATACGTTTTCTCTCGGCCACGATGTCCTCCTATAGGAGCATCGTGATACTCGAACATGATCCGCAAACGCAGATCAGTATCATCTGGAATGACAACACGTGGTGTGTCACCAGAAACGGCTGTATAATATAGTAAACCGTTACGAGTAGTGTATCGATCTGATGCAGATCGATACGCAGACGACAATCGTTTCAACGATTCTCGAGATGGTTGGGAGAGATGTGTCAACAACTTCACTATCTCACCATCTTGGGCATACGCCCGCCTCACATCATCATCCAACGTTGTAGATGGGACTGAGGACGTCATAACCGCAACAGTGACTGTCTCACTGTTGGGTTTCGCGACTGTTTCAAAGTCGGGACGACGTGAGAGTGCATCAGCGACGACATTAAGTCGTCCTGGTTTGTACTCGACCGTAAAGTTGTATTCTGCAAAGAATGACAACCACCGCGCCATTCGTTGTGAAAGGTGCGGGCTGTTCACTGCCGTGCGTAATGACGCATGGTCAGTGTAAACAATGAAGGGTCTATCTCCTAATAGATAGACTCTGAACTTCGCGAGTGCATACTTCATAGCAAGGAGTTCCTTGTCATGCACTGGATAGTTCCGCTCAGCTGGTTGCAGCTGACGCGACTGATAGCAGACGACGCGTTCAACGCCTTCAAGATCGTACTGCATTAATGCACAGCCGATTGCGAAATCGCTGGCATCACAGACCACATGAACTGGCCTGTCGTGATCGGCTATTGCTAGGACTGGGGATTGTATCAAGCTCTGCTTGATACCCTCAAAGGAGCGCTGACATTCAGCGTTCCATAACCACCTCTCGTTCTTTTTCAACAAACGAGAAAGGTGCACAGTCATCTCGGCGTAATTGCGTGAATACTTATGCAAATACGCCGCTAGCCCAAGGAATTTTCGAAGACCTTTGACATCGACCGGCACAGGCCAGTCGGTGATCGCCTTGATCTTTTCGGGATCAGGACGTACACCGTTCTTACCAACGATGCACCCAAGAAGTGGTATTTCGCTTGCAGCAAATATACACTTCTTGAGATTAGCATACAATTGATGCTTTCGCATGATTGTAAGAACCTGTCGGACGTGGTACCTGTGAACCTCAACGTCCGACTTTCCATCCATAGCTCGACTATGGATGAATACGTCATCGAAATAACTCGGCGCGAATTTACGTTCTGGTCTCAACAGATGTGATACACATCTGTTGAACGTGGCAGGGGCATTACTAAGCCCTTGTGGCATTACTAGCCATTCCCAGAGCATGCCGCGAGGCGTGCTAACTGCGGTATAGGGTATATCCCGTTCCCGCATAAGGATTTGATAGAAGCCATCCATCAAATCCATGGACGAAAAGATGGTACTCTTTGACATACCATCTATAATGACATCTTTTTCGGTATCGGCGTCTGAGCCGGTACCGTTGCAGCGTTCAATTTGTTGAACGCGTGCACTATCCGCCACCCTCCTGTTGCTTTTCGCACACAGAAGGTCGGAGAGCTATGTGGGGAAGTTGATTCCCTCACATGGCCCGCAGCTAAACGATCGGCAAAGAACTTGTCGATCGCAAGTACTTGTTCACGAGGCAGTGGCCACTGCTTCATGACACAGTACTTCGAGCCTGGTTTAAGCTCGACCTCGTGTCGAATACCTTTATCCTTCGGTAATTCGCACGGAACAGTTTCAGGGAATACATCCTTGAATTCAACCAAATCTTCATAGAGAGGATTTGTCTTGAGCGATTCCCACGATTGGGAGTCATATCGCTCAATTCGTGTCTTTGCATCTAGGACACTTTCGTCCATAGATGAACTACTGAGAACTCTCTCGTTCTCAGTGAACACTGTTGCTGACCTTATGTCGATTACACACTCGTCGTCAGCGACGAGTATGCAGATCTGCTTGACTTTGCCACTACGCAGATCACGCAAGAACCTTTTATGTTTGAGCGTTGGCAACTGAGTGATCTCCGAAGTTAACTTCGGAGGCGCAATCAGATCAAGTGTATAAGCGCCTACACTTGATCCGTTATTGACTATGACATTCAATGTCTCTGTCATTTCCTGGGGACTTATTCCCTCAGGCTTCGAAGGACTTATTCCTTCGGCTTCCCGGGGACTTATTCCCGCGGGTTTCGGGGAACTTATTTCCGCCGTATTTGTAATCTTGGGACTTATTCCCTTTACTTCCTCTAGCTGGGGTTGCGCAACCACAGCGAGATCCTCTACGAAAGACTCTCCAGTCGATCTAGGATTATCGTTTCGCTTAACCTGAGCGATCGGTTGTTTCTCTTCTAGATGTTCCCCGCTAGGGATACATCTTTGTCCCAGTCCACCCGACTTATTCGAGTGGTGGACCTTCGGCGCAGCCTGTGTTTCCTCACAGCCGCCGGAACTTTGCTCCGAAGTGTAACCGTTTGGTACACTAAGGTTTTGTGCAGTCGTACTAACGACCGTACCACAAGTGAGGCCATCGCACTCACTCGTAGTACATCCACACGCTTGTGGACGCTCCAAAACGTTCATCAGATGACCATCTGATGAACAAGCGGCAGGCATCGTTACTGTTCGATGTTGCCAGTTTACCCGTGGTTCGTACCTTCTGAGCCACGGTATTCCAAGGATGACATCAAATTTGTCATCCAAATCCAATACGATAAAGCCATCGTCATATTGGGTATCTTCTAGCGTATAGTGGATCTTCACTATACGCTTCATGACGGTTACGGATGCGCCTGTCGCAAGACGTACCGTCATCCTCGTAGGAGGTGTGTCACATTCACTGAATTTGAAGTGACCATCTTCTAGCGATTGGCGTCGCACAAAATTGTCGGACGCCCCACAATCGACTAGAGCTCGAAGGGACAACTTATTCGTCACTTCGAGTTTCAAGGTAATGAGTGAGACCTCATTACCCAGAGCAGCAACGCACAACGTTTGTGTGTTGGGATCAACCTTCGTCAAGAGGCCTACAAATTCTCTTGACGTTGCTAGACCAGTAGGGTGCTCCGCACCTACTGATCCTGTCCGTTTTTTGACGGTCCATCCCGTTGTTGCGTCTTTGCACCAACTGCGGACCCTCGTCCCTGCCCTTTTCTCATGGGTGGACGGTCACTACGCCCAGTGTCGCGAGACACTGGACGAGGGGCACTACACTCGTAAGCGTAGTGTCCTGTCTTTTGACATCTGTTGCATCTCTGCAACTTCTTGTATCCTGTAGAGCGAGCCTTCTCGCTCTCTACATAACAGAGTTCCATCGGCTCTGGACCTCCGTTGTCATATCGTCTCGGTTGACGATATGATGTCGAGCTGGCGCGAGCCTGTCTCAGACTGAAGTCTTCCTGCTCCGCAATGGAAATGGCTTGTTCTAGTGAATCTAGTTCAAGCCGGAACAGGTGAGTCTTGACGGGACCATCCGCAAGACCCTGCATGAACACCGAAACCAACGTGTGTTCATCCACCGGATTGGAACTTATACAACTCGTGAGATGTCGTATATGTTGCGCGTAAGCGTGCACATCACGCTTACCCTGCTTGAGCTTCAGGAGTTCGGCTCGAGCTCTGAACTCAGCTCTAGGCGGTTCAAACGTTTGTCTGAGCTGCGACTTGAAGACTTCCAACGACCAAACGCATATGGGTCGTGCAACTTGAGCCCCAGTGCCCAAGTCTTGGCACGTCCTGCCAGATTTGACTGGGCAAATGCAACTTGCATATCCCCGTCGTCGATGCGACGCGCCCTTATGGCGTCATCCAATTCGACGAACCATCTCAAGAGGGAGTCCTCTTCGACTCCCCTATACTTGGAGATGTCAATCTTCAAGGTCTCGGGTCGACCCGAATGCATCGACCCTCACCAGCAGCAGCCTGCTGCTGTCTCAACAGTTCAAACTGTTGAGCACCCTGTTCTCTCAACATCTCTGCTTGTTGAGAACCTTGTTGGTGAAGCAAGGCTACTTTCTCGCGTTCAGCGTCAAGTTCATTTTGAATGAACTTGGCGATAGTGGCATGTTGGGCATCTCTATTGAGAGCCTCTAGCATGACGCTAACAGCATGGATGCCCATGGTCGAACCCATCCGTTCAACCGCATCCCATTCGACGTCGCTCAAATGGGAGTAGCCGTCACGCGTAGCGTGAAAGCTTTGGTCATCTTCATCATCCAACATATTCATGTTGGATGTGAACGCGGTCCTTGGACGGACTACGAAGTGCTACCAGGTGTAACGGGGCACCCTGAAGCTTGTACTGGTGACAGTACAAGCTACTTATTTTGATGACAGAATAAGGCGGTGCCTCGGAACTTCACGTACACTGGTACGTGCAGAGGAAGACGGTAAGAAGAAGCGAGTACTTGGTTAGAGTAAAAAGTAGAACCGTATTTATAATAGTTAATGTCTGCAATAAATCACTATTTATCTTCATCTAACTATGTCTAAATACAAATGTGTAAATCAATTATCTGCTCACCACTCATTGCGTGCGTCTGTCGTGGCGCGTCTTCGTTGGTTGATATTATGGCCTATATCAACCAATTAGGAACTACTCGTAAGTGCTACAGAATATTTGTCCTTATGACAATATTCTGAGAATATAACTCTTATAGTTATATTCTATTTGCAATTTCTTATAAATTGTTATGTAACGATTCACCCCGTTACAACTTAGCCTTAACTCAATCATTTAATTCGTACGACCAGAGACGTCTTAGAAATACACGCGTCTGAAACTGACCAAAAGGGTAACTGAATAAAATCACTGATTTATAGCGATTATAAACATTACTTACGTCCTTAACCTTAAGACTATGCTACCTAATCGAATATTACTCCTCGCAGTTCTTCTAGTGTAACGCACCAGAACTACGTCGCTTCTATAAAGACCCTATTACGATAGATATCCTGTAGACATGACCAATAAGGTATGACATCAGCGCATAGAGTATATGATACAAAAACATGACTTAATAGTGATACTGATCTCTTTCTGTGTGTACCACACTAATGTACCTGATTATCACAACCATTTGTGTAAATCCATTACACCCTCTCTTACCAAGTAACAGATACCCCGAATCGACATTATACACCTTACTACTAAGATAGCTCGGAGGAAACAGACTCTCTCACGATTGTGTTCATGACACATTGCACATCAATGACAAAGTCTTCGCATTCCGCCGAGTCTTTGGAAGACATCAAACAAGAATAGAACATCGTTGATTATGATAGTAACATTGTAGCGGAGCCACTAAGCGCTCCTTAGCAGAGGAATTCTTAGACTCACTGAGTTTCTTAGTTATAACAAATTAACAACAGCCTACAGTCGATCAAGCGTACAAGCTTAACAATCCTGGTTCCAAACGGATTACGATTCACAGAGTCACACGCTAACTAGTCACTAATAGTTAAACAAGAGTAAGCGCCTTTACGAGGCTAATGCCCTTACAACACACTACGCCCTGACTAGGCACTTGTGATTAAAAAAATCGAAAGGGAACTGACCTTTATTTATTCCAGAATTACGGGAATAAAACCCTACAACCTTGTCTGACGGACTTCTACATTGCGATCCTATGACCGAAGTCTGTATCATTATCCCTACCCGATAATGTGCGGTATTACCATAAGCACGTGGGTCCAAGACTGTACCACTCAGATCCACAGATCTTTACTTAATGTGGACACACAACCTAACCGATTCAATAACCGCCGTGTAACCCCGATACAGTCCTCGCACCGCCGGTTGTCTCCCCACCAAGCGAAAGCAGCGACAAGTCCAGCAGTAACAGGTCCTGCAGCTTCTTGGTCAGACTCCTTGCCGTTAAAAAAGACCAACAACAGCTGCAGCACCTTAAAAATACGCGTCAAGTCGCCCTCAAGCACCACCTTGAGCACCTGACTCTTCGACAGCTTGGCGTCGCGCAGCATCTTCTCCACAGGCTCCAGGGTGTTGCAGGAATCGTCGCCGCACATGTCCTCGAAACGAGTCGATGCCATAGAACCGATCGTCAATCTCAATGTACGTTTGTGCCAATGACGACAGTGTCCGCTGCTAGTCATTGAAGTATGCAGGGACCGTCATGACTGCATTCTCCACTTGCTTGCCAATATAAGCACCCGCGATCTCTCGCATCTTGATGAGCACCATGGACGAGATCTCGTCAGACTGAAACGTCTTCGAGTCGCGTTTGAACTGCAGCAAGACCAACGACCTGTTGCCAGCAGCCGACGTCAGCTTCATCGGCCAGTGCTTCACGTTCACCTGAAACGAGTGCAGCACGAGTGAAGCCTCTTTTTCAATCAACACATTCGTCAGCGGACTACCTATCGAAGCTGTAGATCTCTCTTTAGCGCTTAACTTCGTTGTCGACCAGCCAGGAACAACGACTTTGTTTACATGGACGATTGGTGAGGTACGAAAACGATGTGATGATCGTGTGAAGAGAGATGCCGTCGGAAGCTCGAGAAAAAATTCTCCACCGAATTCAATGCACGACGCGTCAGATATCGCAATGGTCTTGACTTGACAGGAACTTAGTTATAGCCGAGGAGGAGTGTCTTATCCGTGCGATGACCAGGCAGGCAGGCCGGAAAAAAAATAAAGCACAAGTGTTGACTGGCAAGCTGTCGACGATTGTACGATGTGGCGATCGAGACCAGCTTCTGGTTTGGTAAGGATCGACTGACGTTGCCGCTATGTGCTTGTCACACACACAAACGCGACTATTTGCCACCTCTGCGTGGGTCGTCAACCTTACTTCCATCCTGCTTTACTCAAGTCAAATGCTACCGATATAACCGCCCTTCATTCACCTCTCCAGCGGCTCCGTCACGACTAACATTGGTGAGTCCTCTTTCCATGCATGAGGAGGAGCCTAATCGCTCGGATCGATCGCTCGTGGCGTCGTTGAGTTCACGAGTTATAGAGTCAGTCAGTCGGGTTCGCTTGATCGATACTGTTGACAAAAGCACCTGATCCAGCTGCTGAGAGCGTCGGTTTTTGGACACACAGCTCCACAATTGGACACACTTGCGAGTCTGACAAGAAAAGAGACGAAAAGGCCTGATTGTCCCCACTTGAGCGGGAGAGCTTTTGTGCCCATTTCCAACTCAGGTCAGAAAAGACTCGACACATCCAGAAACCCGTCGGGTACACGCCATCACGCCTTCCGTTCCACGTTTTGTTCGTGGGGACTTGCAGTCGCTACGATTGACCAGCCACTAAAAGTCGCAGCAGCTGAGACTTTCGATTTCTACCACAGATCGATCATGACCGTCTCGGAAGTTCTCTACGCTATCGGGCACTTTGTTTGTCGGCCGTTTGCCGACTGCTCGAGCTGCGTCGACGTGCTGGATCGCAGCTACTACAGCAAGACATCGCCGGGTGTGTATGCAAGTCCACAAATGTTCAACCGCTGGGAGAACGACGTCAAGCACGGCTACACCCGGTCGCGACCGCTGCCATCCCGTCTACCACCACCACCACCACCAAGGACGCGAAAAAAAGGCGTGACAAAGCGCTCGACGTCGTCAAGTTCACGCCCTCGCTCCGAATCGTCTTCGAACAATCTGTCCTACTACAGCTTTGAAGACGAAGAGGAGAGGGACAGACGAGTGCAGTTTCTGTTCTACGGTGGGTGTGATCCGTTAACGCCCACGTCCAGAGGAGGGCTCGCTGCTTCAACGGGGTATCGCAGCGATATGATTTCTGATGCTGTGAGCCTCACCTCGATCCGGTCCCCGCAAATTAACCACGAGATCCCGTGCTTCTTCTCGCCACGAGATACGCCGCGGTCCTCGATGTCAGCGTCAATGTACTCGCCCCACGTGTTTAAGATCACTGAGCAGCAACAACGACGCAATGCCCGAATTCGGAGCATGCGGAGCTTCAAGTGAGTGCGATTACGACACGACGTGCTATATGTCTGTGTAGTGGTGTGCCGATTCTTCACGACGGGGCGTCGAGAAGTCTGCAGATGAGTTTATTAGGCCAGGAATTGTAGCATGAGTCCACCCAGCGTGGGTTAGAAATGCTTGACATTGCCGTAAGCACCACCACCTGTTAAGTTATTAGTAGCTCTTCAGTTGTCTATTGACTGGATCACCGTCGACGTGTCGAGGTCAACCTACGTTCCTTTTGTGTCGTCACCTTTTTATAAACATTCATAGTCCATGCAAGAGAAAGTCTTCGTACGCAAAGGAGTGAGGCCCTTGGCGCCTTCGGGTGTACTGCGCCGTCATCAACTTGCAGCATTGTCTCTGCACTCTTTCTAACTTCAAGATCAATCGCGACTCTATGACAAAAACGATCTGAATCTCACGTGGATACAGAGGTCCAGTCTTGTCCAGTCCCGTCTGCGCAGCCCGCGTGGATCTTCCTCGAACGTTCCTGCACCAGTCTTTCTCGCACCGTCTTCCACGGTAGAGCCCGCCTATCCATTCACTCCGTAGCTACAAAAGAGACACTCGGTCGCTGGTCGTACAAAACACAATGATCTTTGGTATCTGCTACATACGTGGAGGGCACGACATGAAAGAATCGTTAATGTCTAGCTGTCTTCGAGTTAAGAGCACGACATGTAGGATGAAGCTGAAGCTGTAACGATCATCTGCACTCGAGTTCTCGACCGAGTGGGTCTCGTTCTGGCTTCCTGCCATGAAATGTTGAATGGATAGGTGCAGGAAGAAAGCCGTTTACGAGCAAGAGAACGTGTTGCGTGCGTGCAAAATGAGACCAGAAGGAGACGATGCAGGATGCGATGCCTGCGCTGAGCTTTCTACGTCGATAGGCACCCGGGCTACAGGACGGGATAGGCGACCAGGGACGCAGCGAACGACACGCAACTTTCCCGGCTCGAGTCAGTTCCAGACCAGCTCATGATGAGCTGCAAGACCTACTGTACTGGAAACTGCATGTAAACGTAGACGAGCGGTCTCGTGGTGCAAGTGCAGGTACAAGTCCAGCATTGTCAGCATTCCCTCATTCCTCAATCCGAAGCCTCTCCGATAAGCTCCTTCACCCAGTCCTTCACCACTCCCTTCCCTCCAGTCAAGTTCATCAGCTATGCGAGCTTTTATGCGTGCCATTGGACTCGGCGGCTTCTGCCGTCACCCTGCTGCTACTGCTGCGTCGAGGACATCCGCAACGCCAGCAGCAGCAGCTCGAGGGCATCGAGTCAAGACCCTCAAGAGGAAGAAAAAGACGGGAAACCGCTCGGGAGCTTCCGGAGCTCGTTGCAGCACTCGCTTCAGCTCAACTGTCGAGCGCTCGCAGTTCCTTCTCTTCTGTGGGAGTGACACGTCGACATCGCCAGCGGAGTTGGTCTCGTCGGATGGAACGACTTTGGCGTCTCGGTTTGCACGGCTGAACGCTCCTGGCACTGCTGCAGCCCAACCAGTGATCAACCGGCACATGCCCGTGTTTTTCATGCCACCGGTTGTCGCCGAGCTACCGTCAAGCTGTCGACGATTGTGAGAATAGACGAGCTGTGCTTGTCATTGGAACCGAACCGACTTCTTCAATTGCCTGACGACGTGACTCCTCTTCTCACTGTCGAAACGATGCGTACACGTCTTCAAGTGCTCATTCAAACTGCTCGTGCATTGGCGATGGAAGCCAGCACAAGCGTGGACCAACGGTCGAGCCGGTTGACTGCCGTTATTCACAAGGGTCTATGTGGCAGCGTGCTTGCTTCATGTTGATCGTGTCAAGTCTGGATGGAGGAATCGACACGATACCTGTCAAGACCAGACAACGCCGTAGCGATCGCAGCTTCGGCAGCCATGCTCTTCTCGGCAACCCAATTGCCAATTCCAGGATGACTAATCCGGCGATGGAAGCAATTGGGGGTCAAGTCGAGCTTCATGGCGATGATTATGGCAGAGCATTTCTCACTGGTAAGGAATGCTGCTGCCATTACACGATAGTACGATGGCATGCACCTGTGTCGTGCATTATTAGCTGTCTAGAAAACGCAATCGAGGAATAGACGAGTGTTAAATTGAGCTCTAGTGAACTTGTACGATAACATGAAACCTGTGCATCGATCACTGCCACTCCAAACATGTCAAGAACCCAACCTGTTCTTGTCTGTTCTTGCACTTGACGCCGCCATCTGATCACCTGGAACCGTGGCGTGTCAGAACAAAACGGTATCAACAATTGAATCACCAACAGATTGACGCCGTCCAACTTTCCTTCGCTGTGTGTTACCATTTCCTCTCGGCGTTAGTGTTGTTGCTGCGTCTGATTGTTTCAACTCCCGCTGACGCAATGAGGTGCCTGGTAGCTACTGAAAGAGTTCCGGGGTCTGCTCCTCCACGTACAGCAAAGTCGAGTTCACCTTCTTCTCCCAGCCGTCCAGACGCGCCACCAGCTCCTGAAGCTGCGAATTATCCAGCACGCGCGGCTGCACCCACGTCACCCGCACGATGCCGTCCACCTGGTCAATCGAGCCCTTGATCAGCTTGCACGACAAGGCACGCATGACAACCCATTCCACTTGATCCTGTGGCAAGCGCGTCGCTTCCGCAATCTCCCGGAATGAAATGTTGCGCTCGTGTGACGGGCGCTGGAACACCAGCACCATTAATGCCAATAGGGCGACCTTCTCCTTCACATACTCTTGCTTGGTCACAAGCGCTGGCTGAGCGTTAAACTCCTTGCTGTTCTGCCCCACGATTTCGTTGAACCGATCAATGTCACCCTTATTGAATGCGTGCAAGAGGTCCGAGAGCCACTGTTTATCGGTGTTTTCCAGAGCACCAAGGATCGGGGTTGCCAACTGCAACAGCATCATGAACAACATCATCAAATAGCAGCAACATGAGTTAGTATAGCTCCTCAGCATTCGTCTCAAACCGTCCAATCGCTTCAAAGTTGATCGTACCACTTCACCAAAGTTAAACACGCCATCGCCAGTGAGCGCAGCAATGCTAATGTTCACAGCTAGATCAAAACGTTCTTCAGGACGCATGTCGTCGTACTGCGTGTACGCCAAAAACATGAGCGCGTTCTTGTAGAATTTGTCAGCAGGACCCAGTGCGCTATAGTAGTCGCACGCTACACGGTAGTAGGCGGCGTGTACGACGGGTTCCGCACCCACGAGACTTTCAATCACGGGCTTGTTCTCATCAATTGTGGTCTTTACTTCGGCAAGAAAGTCCAAGCCACGACGGAACTTGAGCAGCGCAATCTGCATCGTACAGAGCAGCACTGCTTCATGTGCAGTCTTGTTGCTCAAGTGACCGAGCAGCTGCTCCATGAATGCTTGCGCCTTGGCAGGGTCTGAATTGGTCGTACAAATAAAAATAAAACAGTCACAATTTAGTTTACCATTTAGAGCATCATGGCTTTTTCTTTCCACCAAATGATAATACTTTACCTGCAAATTGGGTACTGATCTCACTGCAGATACTCACGAGCCGAATCTGGTTCAGTTTGTCCTGGAACGTGCGAATGAACTCCTGATACAGATTCACTAAATTCAGCGGGTACTTGTGCGTCATCGGGTCGCGCACAAACGCCTCGAGCTCGCCCGTAAGCTCATGGTAGAGTCTACACCGATGAATAAATTTACCCATTTGTTAACAAAAGGAACCCAAATGAACTACTATTTCTCACAGGTTTTCTGGTACGTAATAATAAAATCAAAGCACTGCATGTACACGTACTTGCGCGCATGGAGATCCTGCAGCTGCTGATAGCGTGGTGCAATGTCCGGGTACGCCGCTTGTTCCTTGGCAAAAAAGTCCGTCATTTGTCGTCGAAAAGGTAGCGAGCGAGAGGAGGGAGAGGGGGGCCAAGCTTGAGGATCCTTGTTAACAAAAGATGAGGATGACGGTACCACAGAAGTAGATCGGCTATTATTGACCAAGTGAGTGATCAGAGTATGCGTTTTCACAGGATACAAACAATCGCAGTGAAAAGAGCTCCGCGCGTGCAGGGATGTGAGTGACCGACGATGTCAAGTGAGCGAAAGTGACCCCTATGTTGATAGTACCATAAAAGTCAGAGTGATTTATGTGACTCACACACAAATAGTACAATCAACTAAATGCTGCTTTCTGCCCTCACTATTTTTTATTTTGTCTGACATTGAATTTGAGTTGCATTAATGTAACGCAGGTTGCCATGAAGCTCCTGTCAATACCCTCATCTGCCACCTCAGCCCGAACGATGCTGGAGCAATTTGGGCTTGATTCACATCAAAAGAAGCATCGTTGACTTGTGCAAGAGCAATAAAACTGAGGCGTGTTTACATTAACACGCAAAGTATCAAGTGCATACAGAGGGCCAGCAGGTCGAAATTCGGCTACCTACGACCGCAGAAGAAGAAGAGTAGAGTAGCATTATTTGTAGAGACAGGCATCAGATCCGGTAATGAGCTTGTAACCAGACCGAGGATAAAGTACAACAGTTGAGGTGTAGCTAAGGAGGGAGGTATACAAGCGTCAACTCGATAGAACCATTCAATGCCAGTTATATTCAAATAAACGTTATTCTCGTGGCCAGCTTATGGTCTACATAATTATCCTCATGGTCAATAAGCTGCAATGAAAAGCTCTTCATGGTCGTCAACATGTTCTGCTGTTGATGAGGATTGATAGTGGTCAATTTCTATTTTATTATGCGCTTGAAACAAGGAAGCTAGAAGCGGGATAAAGAAGTATGGTGGTTGATAGTAAATATGAAAGATGTATCGTAAAGTTGTAAACGTGGCCGTAAGAAATAGTACGCATACCACTAAAGCCGTAGACACTGATCCTACGACCACTCATGCGGTCCAGAAAAAAAACAGGCGACCTTGTCAGCTTCGTCGTATAAGAAGCGTGGCTTTCCTATAGCTTGATATGTTTGTGCGCAAATGGCCGCTCTAACAGAAAAACAAACAGCGATAGAAACAACAACAACAAGTACAACAACTACAAGCAAATTCGAATGAAAATACGAATTATAGCCAAAGGCGCAGCAAACAAAAACTGTGTCCAGCCTTTTCATTCAGCGCGTATGCCCGGCACCAACAAGCCGCACATTATTCTTGGTTTTCCTTTTTGTTTTGTTAGCTAGCTGTAAAATACAAATGTTAAGCTGTGATTGGCTGATCGATTCTCTGTGGACGCAGTGTCTGTGACCGTAGTGTGGTGTCAGTGGTCTCAGGAATAGTTAGTGCGTGTGTGGCTCAAGCGGCATTAATTTAAAAATCATTGTATAAGTTTATGGCCTGGCCACTTGACCGGTCATTGTGACAGTGACCGTCACTTAAACATAACGACCGGTCGGTAACTTCCCTGCTAGTGTGTCGTCTCGAGACGAGTTTTTTTGCACTGGATACTTTTTTGATAAGATGACGGATTCAGTCGGTTATAGCACAAGCACGACCTCCGGCGCTGATCCTACAGAGTCAAAAATGAATCCATTGGTCATCAACTACTTGCGACGCTTTTCTGGAGTCGCGCTTGCTACGGAACTCCTTGTTAGACAACCAAGACGGGATCATTGTCACCTGGAGAGCGTGTGCGAGGACTGACAAAACGCATCCGGTCGTTCGGAGCTACTGACAGAGCACTATTGGGATGATCCAAAGCAGGCAGTCTACCATTATTGAGGCTCAACTCGTGTCTCCTTGACAGTACAGGGTGGCGACCAGGTGAAACGAGCAATGCCGGTTTAGTCGCACCTGTCGTTGTAGTGATTGTTGCTGCTGCAGCAGCAGCAGCAGGAGCAGCGTCTCCATTATGAGCGCCAGTGCTTGATGCCGTTGCAACAGACGACAACATTGCAGGAGCAGACTCGGACGCAAACGTGAAGCCCGGATGCTCCAAGTACGGTTGTGGCTGAGATTGTATACCTTCGATAGGATCGACAGCTGGCTGGGGAGGAGGCCAGTCATCAATTATGTGCCGGATCGACTGCGCGTTGCGAGACTGGAAGCGCGTCAACAACTTCCGGGCCGACTTCACGGAGATGTCGGGCAACTTCCGCAACGCGGCAGCCTCCACGAGTCGCATGAGCTCGTCAAATGTCATGAGTACGCCCAGTTCTGCGTGTGCGACGACAACGCGCATAATCCCGGCCTCGTCGCTTGGATGGAAGTACCTGTCATTGCCATTGGCATGCCCACCCTGTGCCCGTTTCTTGACACGTCGATGCAGTGCTGCAAAGTGTACGCCGTACATCCTGGCAGCTGCCCGTAGACTCATACCCCGCTGCTCTACTGCTGCAATGGCCTTTTCCCAGGTCTTGGCCGGCACTGTGTGGCTAAGCTTGTAGTTGCGCTTGCCGTTGTACGAGGACGACGCGTTGGACGCCATGTCCTGCATGTCGTCCACACTTCGGCCGCTTTCACTACATCCTGGTCGGATATGAGGCAGCATCAAGTTCTCGTCGTTCCCGCTACGAGGTCCGACGTCGGCATAGTCGCCGTTTAACCGGTAGCTCATCGTTGATGTTGATCCTCGGTCGCTGCTTAGATCATCCCAACTCAACCGGTGTCGTCTCTCGTCCAGCGTCGCGACAGACTCTCTCATGGGCAGGTGCCACCCGTTTACTGCAGCTTGACAACCGTCAGCAACCAAAGTCCGACATTGTTGCTGCTGTTGCTGGACCTCCTGGTTGACTGGTGAGCGAGGACCCGAATAGGTCACTGCCGTCTCGGACAGCAAAGGCAGCAACGAGCCAGAGCTTCCTTTTCGTCCCCGTTCCTCTTCCTTCTCCTCTCCATCACTGCTCGACAGCCCTTGTGCCTCAGCAATTCTGGAGCTGTGTCCATTCTTCATATTGCTACTACATCTGCTAGTGTAGATGCTGTGGTGGCGGTCGTGGTTAATCAGCGGTCGTGGTCGTGACTCCAGTTGCGCTTGAACTGGACGTAACGACGTCCTCTCCAGTCGCTTGGGCAGACTAAAGCCCGCGCTTCCACCTCTTCGACCCACGGTGGCATCAAATGTAAAGCTATTGGGCTGGACAAAGCCATGCAGGCGCTTGAACTCGAGCACCCAGCGAGACGGAGGGAAGTCGGACGGGATGGTCGTGGTACCTCTGGCACTCGCGACCGTGCGTACAGCAAGACGGACGTCGTCAGTCGTGACGCGTTTCTGGTGACAAAGCTGTTCGTTGAGGCGCTGGAGGACCTCGCGCTCGGCCGATTCGCTCAAGTAGCGGCGCACGCTGACGTCGGACACGTGCTTGTCGGACACCCGGTACAAACTGGGCTCCATGGAGGAATCCGAGGGTCGGTCGAGCGTTTTATGAAATGCTGCAAAAGTCGGACGTCATTCGACTTTTGCCTTCGGTGGCGCTGGCTTGTCACGTGGGATGGATCCGAGCGAAGTGCAATCAGCTTTTAGAGGGTGTGGGAAAAAATGGACAGTCGAAGGTCAGAGCAACAGCTGCCACCAACGGAAGTTGTCAAGTCAAAGTGGTTCGTTCAGGCGAACAAAATAGAGTAATCAGTGACTTGACGAGGTCGAGTTACTAGCGGCACTCGCACTATTCTCGCTTAGCAAGTGTTTAAATGTAGGTACTCGATTGTCTACGTCTATATTGTGATTAAGTTTCTATCGTTCGGTTGGCTTACAGAATCAGGCGAAGAGAACGACGAACCAACTCGCGTGCCTTTGGTCCCTGATAAAGGTGTCAGACATGGCGCACGTGCGTTTAGGCCGACACGGCTGCGAAAGGCTACGGCTGCTTGTGGCAGTAGCAGTGACGAAAGACGTGCGTTTCAAGGACAATTTTATGACCTACTTGGTTGTCCGACCACGAAGATAAGATCGGTTACAGTAGGTAGGGTCGACTCGTACCACGGCCTCGAATGAATGAATATGTCGGACGTTAGTCGCGCGCCACTACTTATCGTCCAAGCTGAGGGGTTTGCGGCGTCGGCTGAACGAACGACCTCGTTGTTATCAGGAGCGTATCATGACGAACGACGTCCATCTAGCTGTGCATATGTTGCGATTGTCAGAGATTTCACGACCGTCCATCCGACTTTCTGTTGTTTCTCACCCGTGCTCGAGTCCGAGCACCTGCATTCCACGCCCACGAGACGCTTTCATAGTGATTTGATCGGTGTGCTGATTCTTCATTGAGTCGAAAACATGACAGACGTAACGTCTGCAGCACGATTGCGATTCACGTAACTCAAATTTGACCAATGTCGGCTTTCGGTTTGTAGGTGAAGGCTAAAGCGTGCCGCTGATGGTACAATGCCTTACGAAAGCACCGCCGTTCCGATCCAATAAACGCCGGTTTGGTCACCCAAGGTGGTTGTAAATGTGTGACACATAAGTCTCAGTTGGACCACCCGGGAACCACGGTAACCACTGAGCTTGGCCTCTCATAGAAGCATAAAAACCCCGACATCGAATGGTCGGGAGCCCTGGACTGGCTGGTCCCCGAAGAATCCAGTTAGTAGTGGCCATCTGGTTGGGGGGGGGGTGTAGGCCCCGCCGAAGAGAGCAGAGGTCAGTCGTTAGAATTACCAAATGTATCCACTGCAACTACAAAACAAAAAAAAGGAAAGCGTGCTGCTCTGATTGTGATCTGAATCATATTTCCGAAGCAAGAAACACCTGCCGTTCGGAGGAACACACTGATTCGAGCACTGATGCGTCAGACTGGGAGATGCAATGCGGACGTCTGGCCAATTGCCTTGCTGCAACGAATAAAGTGCGATGACAAGTCGCTCGGCTCCGCGTATATTAGAGTGTACTTTGACCGTGACTGCGGTCGACATCCTAGACCTTTTGCTGAGTTTTGGTGCAACGAGCTATCATGCAACGAGAGCGGATTGCAAACAGTGCACAATGATGCAAGACGCTATCTACATTTTAGCGCCGGTGGTTGGAATGTGTATTTATAAATGATGAGTTTTGTCTTCTATCGAATAAACGCCCTGCAAAGCCGTTAGACTTGCTGCAAAATGCAAGCGATCAGCAAGAATCTAGCCAACCGTCAATAAAGACACGCCAGATAAGCTGTTGTATCGACTCCGTTATCGTTGTGGTATCATCACTGAGCCTTGCGATATGAAGTTGCGAGGCAAGCGGGAGTTGATCGTTTCGAGAGCATCCCGGATGATGCGGAAACATTCGCGTGATACACACATTTATTCCCCTACACCTATAATCGATACTGTACATTCAGCACCATGGCAGTCTCTTTGTGAGCCTCAAAAACATGATAACTGCAACGATCCGACCAGATTAGCGACGAGCCCGACTTCAAGAGCAGCAACGTCCTTTTCAAATATCATAGTCTTCGATGCTTGTCAGTCTCTCCGCAACGGGGTTACACAAATGGTTGTGATAACCAGGTACGTTAGTGTGGTACACACAGAAAGAGACCAGTTTCGCTGATAACGCACACTTTTGTATCGCATACGCTAAGCGGTAATACCGTACCCTATCGGTTTTATTTCGAGGTTATCTATTGTAATAGGGTCTTTATTGAGGCGACGTAGTTCTGGTATGGTATACAAGAAGAACTGCGAGGAGGACAATTCGATAAGGTAGCATAGTTAAAGGTTAAAGACGTAAGTAATGTTGATTATCGTTATAAATCAGTAAACCTTAATAATTTAGTATTCAGTTCTCCTTTTGACCAGTTTCAGACACGTGTCCGTCCTTCTACGACGTCTCTGGTTGTGAGAGTTAAGTGCCTGAGTTAAGGCTAAGTACTCTTGGGCATTAGTGCCACATGATTCCTTGGAGTCGTAGCCCCCTGAACCAGGGCTAGAAGTTTCACTGCTTGCACATACACTTAGAATTAAGAACCGCCAAGACTGCAAGACTTGAGACGCTTTAAGTTAATACCCGCTTAGTTTGATATACTAAGAGACTTACGAATCCAGAAGTTTTATCTGACAGAGGAGTTAGGGTAGCTTCTCTACAATCACGCTGTCACGTTAACGGGATATTCGCTTCGCTAAAATGGGTTGCTGACGAAAGCATAATCTTTGAAGCACATCGAAATCACTCATTAAATACACCGTTCCAGCAGTATCGGCAACAAGTCTACAATGTCATCAGTCGCAGGTGCAGCTGACTCAGTCTAGATGCCTGCGACTTTCTTTCGCAAAGGACATTGATTTATTAACAATGCAATTTCTGCGTACGCACGTAATGCAGTTTAGCGTCTTATTTCGCACTGAGACTGTACTACGTTCGGCAACAGAATACCCGTCAAGGCATTTACTACGATTCGTTTTGTTTGTAAATCATTGTCATGCCAATTTGTTATTTTTCACTATTGAATTTGTCATCTTGCGCATACTTCGTGGATCGACCAGTGCAATATGGCACAGGTTTTTGTCGCCGTAATGCTGTTTGTGAACGCTATAAGAATATGCTGCAATCGTGAAGCCAGGAGGGGATGTCAATCCTGACACAAACAGGATATCTCACCTTTGAGGACAGGTACTTTTATCATAATCTACAAGCGACCGATCGTTTCCAGCTCGGCCAATAATTCGGGTACCTTCTGCACCCCGTACCAGGTAGCATCGTACACCCATCCTTTTAGCCACAGTTAAGTCAGTTTTACGAATCACAGGGTGCTATTTGATAGCGTGGTGTGTTTTACGATTGCTAACACCGTATGTGTGTTAACGAGTGCGATTTTTCAAAGCGTAAGGGGCCTAACATGCAAATTACTAAATTTGCCACTGCGACATCTAAAATCGTACAAAATAGCATACAAATTTTAAGCATAATGTATTATTGTAATTTGATTATTCATTGGATTAGCAACACATGCCATTTGGCGACGCTATGTCAGCGGCGCTTAAAGACGGAAATGTCAACAAGAAGGCAAGTGTGGTAAAGCGAGTTTTCGGGACTGATGAAGTTAAGGTCGATGAACCGGACGGACATGGGACCTCGCGGCTGCGTAAGGGACCGGAGACCTGGACGTCACAGGTAAGGAGCGGCCGTTGGTTCCAACCGTGACGAGCGGTTAATGTTACTGCCAACGGGGTCAAACCCACCGACGATACCAGTTAAACGGTACCGATACGGATCGTTCTCAACCACTCGCCGGTCGGCCTGATCTCCCAAGGTGGGCCCTGGTCACCCGTATGCCTACCTGGCCACTCATCATAGAGAACCTAGGTGCAAGGCAAAGGTAGAGTAAAGGAGTCTAAAGGATTGGACAATATTAAATACTACTAAATTTGCGATCTAAGTAGCACGATATGTCGTGCGGTAAGAAACTTGCAAGTCTACCGACCTGTTCCGGGCCAGGGATCTGTTTGGCCCACCCCTCGAATCGACAGTTGTCAGTAAGAGCCAAGTGTAAGTAGAACCCCAGGAAGTTTATTGACGTGTAAGTTCGTAGAGTAGCACCCCCCTCCCGATTCGAACCTGCTATAGGAATCAGTCTCCATACCCTAGCGGTAAGGGAGAAGAAACATAAAGGCCAGGCGGTTAACACCCCTGAGACCAGTAAAGGCCAGGCGCTACCAGCACCTGATTCAATTGGTTACAAGACCACTCTCGACCAATTCGATCGAGCAGCCACCTAAATTTGAACCCGACTGAAGCATATCCGCTCGGACCCCCCTCCCAGGTGACCCTATCAAGGCCGATGTCTTCAATCATCACCAGGTCCTCCGAAGAGTAAAACCCGCCAGCCGACGGGTACACAAGGTGAGTCAAGGTCCACAAGCGTGCGAAGGTTAGCGCGCCGGGTGCTCCGATGGTAGGGAGGGCAGTTTTTAAGACCTTTGGGGAAGCTGCTTCGCCGGTGATCCCGCCATCATCTGGAAATGGTGTCAGGTCTGACAGCGAACCGGTCCGGGCCACCATGGCCAGATCTCGGTCTTCCCGTCGTCGGACGAAGACTTCGTCTCCTCTTCTCCTTGCAGTCACGACACCCGTGCCGAAAACCCCGACCCCTCTGTCTATTATCAAGAACACGTTCGAGTCTTCCGAATCTGAGACAGATCTGCATTTTTAGGAGAAGAGTGACCATCTAGCGGTGAGAAGAGAATTTTCTAGAGGCCGCTTACCGGCTACGGGAGCTTGGGGCCGATCACTTGCGGTCGAATCTCTTGGCATCCCTCGGATGACACCCTTGTTGGGGTTAAACACCTCGAAGGGGTCGGCGACATGGACGATCTTGTAGGACGACCGGTACCGCCCTTTAGCGGTTCGTTAAAGTCATCGGAGTGGCCGAGTTCCGCCACGAGGAGAGACATCCGACTATGCCGAAGGTC